GTGATGTTTTAATTGTGTTTTGTTATCATATATACATATATATATATATATATATATATATATATATATATACACATTATATATGCATTACGATATTGTTGCTTCGTATTGGCGATGGTAGGCCTATTTGTGTAGCCTATTAGTAGTAGTTAATCAATGACATTTTATGAATTTGCTCAGCATTTTTCTTCTTATGAGTCCAAATAGATTTTTCGTACATTTCTTAAATCCCAACATAACGAAGATGCCCCATAGGGTTTTTGAGAGTTTTAGCGACTTTAGCCCACTTACAGCCATGAAATAATATTTTCTAAGTGATTCAGATGAATAGTTTATGTTGTGTTAGTTGTGATATTGCGTTATTGGGTTATTTTTATTTGTATAGCTTTATTATGTTTATTATATAAATTATGTTGATGATTTAGTTACTAATTGCTGTTCCAACGGATTGGTAATAATATATTTGTACAATAGGGCTATGCGTAAAATGCCTCAGTATGTCAAATTATTTTAAATAGATAGATTGTGATCGATTTGTTACCACTCAATTTGTTACCACTCAATTTATTGATCAATCTCTCAGCTGTTTTGAAATAATTTGACAATTGCTTGTCGGAACCACACACACACACACGCACACACGCACACACACACACACACACACACACACACACACACACACACACACACACACACACACACACACACACACACACACACAAGCACGCACACACACACACACACACACACACACACACACACACACACACATACATACACATACACGCCTATGTGTTTCTTGAACAATACGCGTCATTACGCATAGGATTACATTGGCCGAATAGTTCTATAACTTTATAATTTCTTCCATTTTAATTCACAGGCAACACAACTATGATATGTTGCCATGATCTTTAGAAAAAATAATGTAGGCCCGCTTGACCATCGTTGACGGTCAAGTTCAAAGGGTATGCATTAACCCTTTTTGAGCCAAAGGTTGAGAAATGGATCTTGCATATGCGTTCACACATTTTTTCTTCTGAATTGACATTTCTTCCTATATTTAAATAGTCCGAATTAAATACACTCAAAAATCTTGCAGTTATTCCCGCGTTGTTCAAAGGAGGGTCTTCTACTTGGGGGGAATTTAAAACAAGATTCACGGCAAGGCCATAACCGTGGCAACCTGTCTGCACAAAATCAAAGTGGAGAAAAAAAGACCTTTGTTTATGCTATTACCCTGTCTGGACAGGCCGAGAGATTCTAAGAAAGCAATTCCAATCCGGAGACTCCAGACAGTGTACTAGACAGTGACCTTGAATTGACAAGCACATGTTCCTAACCTTCGTTTTTTTTTGTAAAACAGTTGAGAGTTGCTCAATTCCCCTAAACCTCTAATGGTATCGTCTGTATCACATTTGCATCCAGAAATCGTTTGGTAGGCTAGTGTGAATGTGATATCAGCTTGTTGGAGAGCTGGTGTGGATCGAAGGTGTGGTGGCCTTGGAGGGTCTGGTCTGCTGTCTACCGCACCATAATGACGCTGCGGCCTCTATTCTCTCTCTAAGGTAAAGTGGAACCATTCTATAATGCAGATTCTCTTAAAAGATATATTGATATTTAAAGCTATACTTTGCAAATGGTTGTGGACTTATCATGACATTGTTGCTGACATTTTCTCGTCTTCTAATTTAGGTTTTTGCATTGGGCAACTTTTCCTAGAAGGGATTCATTCCTATTTTGTTATTAATAAAGTTGTGAACTTAACCGACACCAAGTGATGTCCAATAATGCTCTGACAGACGTATGTATCTCATAACATATAACATTTATGTGCACTCGATGTTGTACTGCATTGCGAGACTTACTAACTGTTACAAGGGTCTGTAATGATTGGAGATACAATTCTGAAAGTGCACGAGATGAGATTAAACCTCAAGTAATTCTACGGAGCGTCTCCAATTTGTCATTTATATTTATCGTTCTATTTAGGGTCTGAGGCTCGCTGGCCTCAGATTCTCTATGAAATCTGTCACTGCTGACGATGGATCAAATAACGTCTGTGTTGCATCAAATAACGTCTGAGTGGCAAATTGTGCTGCGACCAATGTACTATGTAATACTAATTAGACTAGTATTCTCAGATAACACTCCCTTGGCAGGTCTGTAGCGCTTGTCTATGCAGGAAGACTCAACATGCAAGTACAAAATGCCACACACTTAACATTTAAATCCATGAAATGCTATATAACTATTACAATTATGTTGTCAATAGGCCAATTTGTATTTATTTAGGCCTACCGATATTTTTATATAGTTAGGCTATGTTATAACGCATAGGCTAATATGAACATAATTTAATGTTCAAATTGATTTAGACAAAGAATGATAAATCCACGCTATAGCAGACCATCAGTATTACTATTAGTATTATATAGTCTAACAAATAGGATGGCAACGAGTTATATTTCCATACCCTTAATACACAGTTATATATGTTGTAATGTCATTATAATGTGAAACCGTGCATAATATTAAATTGATAGTATGGTAACCCATTGCTTCATAAACGTAGGAAAATCGTGAAAATAATGTGAGTGGTTAACATGTTTTAAGATCAATAAATGGACATTTTGCGCATGCACTTGAGTTGCACTGAAATGCTTAGAGGACTATGCATGTATTAATACATTTAAGTATTTATGAAGTATTTATGCTTAGGAAGTCAGCCATAATATGATACATCGTCACCAGTGGTATAGATATCTGGGAACCTATAAGCAATTAATCTAAACCTATAAGTATACACATGTGCGCACTAGAGCCATTATATATTCAATTTAAAAGGGATATTAATTTATGGGTAGGCTAAATGGGTAGGCTAAGCATGACGTATCTTGGTATAACTAAGATTCGATGGATTTATATTTAAGAATGCAGTCTAAGGAGTATTTCCAGATACCTTCAATGCAATTGATGAGAGGATCTATGGACCAGAGGGAGGAGTATAAATAAAAAAGAGGGTATCATACCATCCATAGGCATGTTATAAAGACGGTATATGTTGAACAATTTAACAGTCTTACATCACACCTGAATATATAGACTGTTGGCTACATGCCTTTAGTCATAGGAGCTGTAATATTTATTTTTTTAAGTGATTAGATTGTTTGCTGAGATTGAGCATTCATTTTTGCTGTAGTTTTATATAAGAAAGTATTTCCACCAAATAATTGCTCTCGCTGTTCATTATTTTAATAACCTTTTACTGCAGTGGGCTACATCAGGGTCACAGAATGCTCTTGATTGTAATATTATAATATGCCATTTAGCAGACGCTTTTATCCAAAGCGACTTACGGTCATGTGTGCATACATTTTTACGTATGGGTGGTCCCGGGGAGCGAACCCACTACCCTGGCGTTACAAGCGCCATGCTCTACTAATTGAGCTACAGAGGACCACAAATTAAACAAATCTACTTTGAAACAAAAGTATACACCTCATGGGCTTACAAAAAAAATACACTTGTACCATGTCAGATATAGAGTTGAAATGTATTCCATTTTGAGTTTGCATCTCAATATTATACTTTATATACATCACAAAAAACTGAAATATAAGAAAGCTGTTTGCCATAGAATAACCGGATTTTCAGAGTAATTTTTGGGAGAATTAATTATGAAATTATGAAAAACATTAATAACATTTCACCCATGAGGCCACTAGGCTTCAGGCTATGTTGTGCATCCTGGATTTAGGGGTAGACGTAACATAGTAAATGTGAATTAGTGTGATATGTTATGTTTTTGTGTGATATGTATTAATTTGTGGATGTCCATCATCCATTTTGTGTGATATGTTAGGAATACAATTCGTATGATATGTTAATTTAAAAAACGTATTATATGTTACAAATTCCAATTGGTGTGGCTAACATTAGCTAGGTGGCTAGGTTTAGGGGTTAAGGTTAAGGTTAGGGTTAGGGTTAGGAGTTAGGTTAGACGTTCATGTTATACACCCACCCTCCACCCCGACCAACCACCCTACTTTTGTTTTTGCCTTAAGTAACCTTCTGTCTTATGTAACCATACCATACGTAACATATCGTACTAATTTGAGTGTCCCGGATTTACATTTACTATGTTACCTCTAGTCTATGAGACCAGGCTGTGTTGTGATGCATAGTAGATACCTACAGAGCATCTTCAGAATCACAAATCAACTAATTCATGGATTATGGTTCATACATCTCCGCTGATTGAATCAGTTAAGTGCCCTCTGCTACCTTGTAAAGTTCATATAAAAGAACTGTGAGAGGCATAACAATCTCCATAGAGTTTCACTGCGAACGTTTATAGGGGGTATCTGTTAAAGTTGTTCATGTGAGAATATGTGAAATATATGCTCTTAAAGTAACCTTATTGAATATCATCTGATTTTAACAGAGCCAATAGTTTCAACCCGCTGACCCCCATACTGTAAATATGAGTAGAGCGCAGCAATGAACATCAGTCTTTTCTTAAAACAAGCTTGTAAAAGAGGGACATCACAGCTTTATATGACATTGAATTCAACCGTAATTTGCTTGAAAACAAGATGTCCTCTCCTTCTTGGAAAATAAATAGTTTTCATAAGAAATACTATTTTAAAACTTTTGCCAGCTAATAAAGATATTAAATGAGACTAGGGACAGTTTCACATATTTGTACAGTAGAGCGTACAAACTGAGAAGTAGGTTTGGACTCTACTGGCTTCCAGAGAAGAAAAAACAGATCTACATATTTAATAAAATATTTATAGTATTTTTTAAAAAGCATATAAACCCCCATAATACAGAAGTTAATGTTTTGTTTTGTCTGAGATGGACAAAGTGGGTGGTACCCTGATGTAGAATAAATTAGCCCTCAGACCACGTCAGTTGGGGTTGACCAATCAGTTGCACCCCCAGGTTTAACTACGTTAAATGTCAGATTGCAATAAACTAGAAGCTGTTTGTCGGGCCCGCGGAAATGGGCGAGCATAATCTTCTTAATCCCGGGTTTGTGGGACCTTTGGTAAACATCCACACTGGAGACACTTTTTACTTTCCGAATTTCAGAGCCTCGGGGGGACAACTGGCGGGGCTGCCATCTCTCCCCTACCCGAGAAGGGACAATGTTTGCTCCCTCCCGTGGAACCCATCGGAGCCGTGCAATGGATACTCTCAATCCTACTTTAGCAGCCCCGTATCTATTAACCCTTCTTTCAACCGGTCGTGTGAAATTACTCGACCGGAGGAGGGTAAATGTTATTATAGCAACGGCAGCGCAAGCAGCAGAGAGAACTGTTCCGGGGGTGGCGGGAGCAGCCTAAAACGAGAGGATAGAGTGAGGGACACATCATCATCCATAACATCTGATCACGGTATGCACACTGGCATGGGCAGCAACAACAGTGGTGCCTTTTCCAAGTATGATTATGGGACCGAGCAACTCACTCAAGACCCGCAGTCCTGCCTATCTCTGGAATCCGATTCCAACTCCTCGCCTCTCAATGAGGGCAGCAAACCGTCCTCCAGCGACCCTCAGACCCTGGTGTCACCGGGAAACCACACCGTCCACTCGGGCAACATAGCTGCAGGCGGAGGTGGGTCCCATTCTCATTCATCCAGACACTGTTATATGATATTAGCAATCCCAAAGATGCTTGTTAATTATCAAATGAATCGTACTAGTTCAGCATAGGCAGGGATTTGTTGTAGGCTAAGAATTCGTTATCATGATGCTCATCACATTGTTTTGATTTTTGCCTGCAGGCGACTTGACATGCGTGTTGTACAAACGCTTCTAGGGGTTGCTATACAATGTTACATCATGCTACAAGTGTTTGTGTACTGTTATTGATAGAACCAACTAGGAGTCTATAGACCGCAGACCATTTTAGGCCACGGTCTCACGTCTTACTGCCACTGCATGTGTCTCAGAGTCAGAGATAAATAATTCTGAATAACCTTATCCATGTGAATGTATCAGTTCGGTCTATTTGGATCAGATAGCTTGTTAGAACATGTCTATTACGCACAGATTACGCACACAAATGAGTGCAGTGATTTAAAGAGGTAATGCGCTGTGGATGACTGCATCGAATAGAGAGGGATTTCGTTTTAATGACTCGTAAACGGAATTAATATATGTCGCTGTGTACTATAAGGAGTCGTTTAATATGGCTGGAAACTGGTAAATAAGTAGGGGTATTTGCAAGGAAACATTTATGCCTAATTATCGCGTTAATGTAGATTTAACTGCATCAGGAAAACTGCATGTGACACAAACTACTGTAAATTAGTGGTCCCTTTGACTTAATGTACAAACACGAAAAGAAGGAAACAGACAATTCCAGCTGCTGCTTCTGAACAAACATGCCCCATGTCATTGAATGAGATTCAGACTGAGTCTAAGGTCTACATAGACTGCAGACCAAAACAAGTCAAGTGTAACACAACACGTTGTGTGTATGTGCACAGCACAGGAAGTCACATTGTAAGGAGAGTATAGCCTCGCCTTGGAGGTGACGGTGAGCTTAAATTGTAGCCCTAACTGTTGTGACTTATCCATCCGTTGTATGCCCCCTCCAGGTGCCCCGTGGTACCCGATGCACAGCCGGACCCGAAAGAAACGCAAGCCCTACTCCAAGCTCCAACTGGCCGAACTGGAGGGCGAGTTCATGCTGAATGAGTTCATCACCAGACAGCGGCGGAGGGAGCTCTCTGACCGCCTCAACCTCAGCGACCAACAGGTTAAAATCTGGTTCCAGAACCGGCGTATGAAGAAGAAGAGACTGATGATGAGGGAGCAAGCTTTGTCCTTCTTTTAGATTTAGTAGAGAGGCAGCAGCATACGGAGACTCGATTGATAGGCAGTATTTATCCTGTCTGCAATTGCTATAAATGCATGCAAGCACCTAGCCTAAATCTCCATCACACAGGAGGTACAAAATGTTCAGGAAACTGTTTAAGGTGTAGGCCCCAAAGAAAACGATCAAGTGATACTGCTGCCATAACTTAGAATCTCTGCAGAGTTATGCCAGATAGTACTGCCTGTATAGTGTTATGGTAAAACACTTATACGGACGTTTATAAACTGTGAGATGATATTCTTGCGTCCCCCGCCGGATAGGCCTAAAGGATGGAATTAGTGCATGGTGTCCTAGACTCTAGTAAGTTCCCAAGCCCTTAAAAATGAATAATTTATTCTGATAAATGACTTATAACCGCGTAATAATCCTTATTAGTCATATGGCCAGTAAATATGAATTTGAAAACTAAATGAACTAAATGAAAAGCAATATAGCCTAATAAATAAATGAGGCCAGATTGAGAGATGAACCTGTAATCAGGCCAATTCTCCAATGTAGGCCTAAATGAATCCCCTTTAGGCGCATTCATTGTCACTGACAGTGAGGACATTTCCAGTTGTTTAATATCTCCCAAAGTTCACGTGTAATTGATGCAGAACACAATACCCTTATCTACTTTTCGTAGTCTCCACCACGTGTTTGGGCACATGTTTGGTCACGTTCACTGTCACCGGCACCGATTCAGACTCCAAGCCGCACAAAATCCATGCCAACCTCTTTATGGCTGCAGCGCATTTAACTATTATTTGCCATGAATTCGTTCATGTGCTGACAACCTTTTCGAGATATTTTCATATTTTTTTCATTGCCTCTCTCCTCATCTCCCCCCTCTGAGCCAACCGCCTCTGAATAACTTTAGCGTTCACTCTTAGAAAAAAAGGATCCATAAGGGTTATTCGGCTGTCTCCATAGCATAGGGGACTGAAAAAGTCTAAACGATCCTTGGGACGTCCCAACTCTGACGTCACCCCGTTGAAGTCGACATTTAAAAACGGTTAAGGTAAGGTTTAAGGTTATAGTTAGGGTTAGGTAAGGGTTATGATTGAGGTAAGGTTAAGGGTTAACCTTTTACTGCAGTGGGCTAAATCAGGGTCACGCAGAGTGTTTCTTGGTAGTCTTAAACAAATCTTCTTTGAAACAAAAGTATACACCTCACACACATGGTTATGGGCTTACAAAAAAGAAGACACGTGTACCATGTCAGATAAAGAGTTTAAATGTATTACATTTTGGGTTTGCATCCCAATATTACACGTTCTATACATCACAGAAGACTGTGGCGTTTTTAAAATGAAAAATGTTTATTAATTAGGAACTTATGAAAAATAATAATTACATTAAACTGGATCATTTGACTGCAGGAAAGCTTATGGTTAGGGATTCCAGATATAACTATTTTTTGTTCCACGTGGAACCCTTTTGGGTTCCATGTAGAACCCTCTGTGAAATGGAACCCAAAAGGGTTCTACCTGGAACTGAAATGGTTGTACTTGGAACCAAAAAGGGTTTATCAAAGGGTTATCCTATGGGGACAGCGAATAACTATTTTCCCTTCTAGATAGCACCTTTTTTTCTAAAAGTGTTTGGATCAGAACAGATGATGTTGCTGTTTAAACAAGCTTTTGTGCTGTCTGCTATCAAAGAAAGATAGTTCTCATAGTTGTGCTGACAATTATTATTAAATTAGTATTCCACAATACAGTTGCTGGATTTCCTTATGGCAATAACACACTGAGGTGCATGTGTTCTTCATATAAATGCAAATCCCATAGACATTCAATAAGCGTTTTGTACCTGATATAGCCCAGAGGATAACAGTTACTGCTAGAAAAGTGCACAATTGAAATTGTGATCATTGAAAGTAGATATAAACTTGAAGTGAAAAATAAGCTTAGTGGAAAGAAATATCATATTATAAACATACATGAGATACACAATCTAAACGCTGTGTGTGCTCCTTTAAAATCTGGACAGCACATTATATTGAATGTATATGGATTCAAACCTATAAATGGCTGTGAAAGATACTTGCAGCATGTTAGTGATTATGTGAAATATTGAAAAAAATGGTTAATAGATAAGGATTTCTCTGTCCCTTTGAACTTTTAAAGTAGAAACGACTGAAAGATTTAAAGAAATGTCGTTGCATTTTAAGGCAAATAAATATGAAACCTTTATTATGAAAGTATGCTTATTATTACTATTATATTATCATTATTGTAGTATTGGTCGGAGTTGCTGACTACGGTTTGTACTGTGTTTGATATTCGCTATGTTCTATGTCTCTTACCTCATAACGTGTATCAAATTGTAAAAGTATGGAAATTATGTGATATTGTGCTATTTACATCCTAGTGGCGCAGCAGTCTAAGGCACTGCATCTCAGTGCTGGAGGCGTCACTACAGATCCTGGTTCGATTCCAGACTGTATCACAATCCGGCCGTGATTAGGAGTCCCATAGGGCGGCGCATAATTGACCCAGCATCATCCGGGTTTGGCCGGGGTAGGCCGTCATTGTAAATAATAAGTTGTTCTTAACTGACTTGCCTAGTTTTAAAAAATGTAATAGTGTTTCATGTTAACGTTCCGTTATTCCGTCCTGTAGAATACAATCTCGCAATCCATTATTTGCGGTTGTAAGGGGATGACGTGGTTATATGAAATGATATGGTACTATTTACATGCTATTTCAGGATACCCTCTCCCAGTGTAATAGTGCTTTATGTTATTGTTCTCTTGTACAATATCGCATTCCCTTATTTGCGCTTGTGAGGGCTGCTTAAAACATTTTCTTGTATAAAAGTAATAATGACATGAATGTATCTATGTATGAGTAAGGTTTCTAATAAACAGAATCTTTAAAAATATAACTGGTCTTACCACCATCATTATGCTGTGATTTTAAATACTGTATTATGTGATATAATGGTACAACAAATGAGTCCCATTTGAGCATTACGCACGGATGTTGCGTTGAATACACGATATACATTTATTTTGTTTCCCTTTGTCTTCTAAAACAAACATTCTGAAGACCTCTAATACTGTATATGTTACTCGGAGAGCGGCAGCATGTCAAACATATACATATACAATAAGTTGAATATAGCTCACTCATCTAAATATTAGACTATAAACAAACCTTACAGTTCAAAAGCCAGGTGGTCAATGTAGCTGAAACGCTAAACAGTGACTCGAACACACAATAGCCATTTAAATCAGTAATAGGCCTACATTCCAGTTATAATATCCTGAAACTAATACTTGGCTGAGTATTTTGATTATATTTAACCTACATGTTGTTTCAATAAACGTACGATTACTGTGGTCCGAAAAATTATTATTTAGGTCAAATTGATGGGGTATGAACAAGTAGCCTATATAGCCCTCTTATTTGGGATTTTAAAACCATACGAGCACTCGCTATATGGTAAAGACAGGTGCAAAGAAATATGGAGTTTGTATTGCAGATATCAGCCAAATAACTCTCAAACATAATTATCTTTGCAAATAAAAAAGTATTGGGAATTAAAGCCTTGTCACATTAAATTGTCGGCTTGTGTTTTTTCTGAGTTGAGATCAGTTGTTGACATTTCAGTGAACTGTAGTAGACCGGCTCCAGCGACCGACGTATGGCACCAGCCAAGTGGTCTGAGTTAGTCCCTGTATGATCAAAACACATCCATCATACACTGCTGCCACTTATGCCTTTTGCCAATAGCTTACTTGGCAAAAGGCAAGTATCTCACCAATAACTTGTGCATGAACATGAATTCGTTGAGAATTTAGAAGACTGCACATTTTGATCCATCATCACATTGAGGTGTTACTAGAAAACGTTGCCATATTTACTATCCCTTTCAGCTTAATTTCTATATTCTGTAATAATCTTATTGTGAATTTGCCCTTTTAACTAACCTACATTCCAATGTGTGTATTAATAGTTTCTACAGTCAAGATATTGAGAGGTGCATTGAGTCATCAATGGAGAGATGCATTGCACCATAATACTTTTACCATACGCTCTAGCACCAGCCTCTGGACTTGCTTATAGATAAAATGAAGAAAGGAGAGAGAGAGAGCGGATATTGGGTACTATTGTCACAACTAGCAATCGTCTGAATAGTTGTTTAGTGATGCATCCGTTTTCTAATATTTAATTAAAATAATTAACGTTTAAATGTATTCAACCTAAGACATTATGGAGAAGGCATGGTGGAAATATGTGCATTTTACGCACAAGGCAAAGGAATCTTGTGGTCCTGATTTTGGGTTGCAAATGCAGTCTATAATAGTCCAAATATTTTAGATTATACTGTCGTTAATAGAAGTGAATGCATGCAAACTTGACCTCTGAAACCTGGTATTTGACATGTCTAAAAGATTCGGGTTGTATTCTGTGTTTGTACTCATTGGAGTTCAATATCAAGTGACTTTACGCAGAGATCACGCATATAATGTTCTTGCAATTTCAATGTTGAACACTTCTTTGATGTGTTACAATATATAATATATTGTATTACTAATAATATTAGTAGTGTTACTAGACCAATATTAGCCTAGTACTGCACAGTATTTTTTTATAATAATGCTATAAGTATTTTGTATGTTATGTAATATAATATATACATATTGTCAGGATATTGTGTAGGATATGCCCTCATTCCAAAACAATTGTTAGTTATTTGTATCTTAGCAAATGGAGTTCATAAGCAATCAATCACATCAGACCTCAGCTTTTTATTTTCTCCCCGTGTTATTTTCCCTCTTCCAAAACACGTATTCGACGTTGGGTTAGGTTATAGGCCCTCTAGTAAATTGCGTAATACTACTTCTAGTGTTATAAACGTGCTTTTACGCATATGCCTACCCATGCAATGAAGGCCAAGAAAGGTTTATTGTGCCGAGCCAAGTAAGCCTTGTCATGAAAAAGAGGCACTCTTGAGGACTATAGAGCCTACAAAATATTGTGGTTATGTCACCGAAGGACCAATCTCTCAAACCACATTTAGTCGATCTTCGTGTGGGCCTACTATAGATATGTTGGCTGCATGCGCAGCGATCTTAACAATGGCCTTGTTTAATGCTCCTGGGCGCTTTTGACTTTGAGACTGGCTAAATCTGTTTATGGTGGCTTGTCTCCCCTCGCGGCCGGTCTCAAAGGTCAGTGAGCTGCACCGGTGCATACCCTTCACAGAGAACTTCACAATGTCACAGATAGCCATGTGGTCTATTAGGCTCCCGGCCCGGCCACCTTTCTCTCAGTCTCTATCATGCCGTTTATGGCAACGAGCTGGTTAGAGAGACGGAAATGAGTGAGCAATGTGCAATATTATTTCCATGCACCCAACTGTGTGTGTGTGTGTGTGTGTGCGTGTGTGTGTGTTTGTGTGTGCACGTGTGTGTGTGTGTCTACTAAAACAAGGTCTACCTAAAATAGCCATAATGATATGTTTACATTATTAATTGCTGAAAAAGAGACGGCTTCGTCAGTGGGTATAACTACCAAATTATTATGAACATCCTTATGCTAATTCTAATTCTAGCCTAATAGTAATGAGCTAATAATAACAGCCTAATGCTTGTACTATCAATATAAATAATACCACTACTAGGCCTACTACTAATAATAATAATAATAGTAACATAATTTTTAGAAGTAATTTTCACAAAAATGAAAACATTTGAGGACGTATCAGAAAACGTTGTCCATCTAGACCCACATAAATGCTTGGCATTTCAACATGTGTACCAGAATGTCCCCCATTAGCGTTTCTTGGAGACCTTTTTCTTGTCTAAATCCTTTAGTCCAGACAAACCAAACGCTGTGATTACTAAACCTGAACTATGTATTTGCAGCTAATTTTTGAATTTGTTACCGGATTTTTCGTCAGCTTCTGTGGCATGGCGTATACCACTCACTGTTATGTGGCATGGCATGGCATTTGTTACCTTGTTCAATCAACAACTGGATTTTGATCTGCCAAAGCTCCACAGTATGTAGGCCTATTTGTTATTTGTCTAAAATTAAGTATGCATGCACAATCTTTTTAGAGGCCTATACACAGTTGTGGGGAGTGTT